GTCAGCACACATCTGTACAGTAGGCAGATGTGTACACAACTAGCAATGTGGAGTCTTAATTTCAGCAGAAAGAATTAATGCAGAGCTCATAAAGCTGACAGGTTAGGGTAAGTTTTCCCTTCAACATTTCAACAGAAAAGTATACTTGTTAATAAAAATTGGAGAATTGGTCGATCCTATATAAACAATGATTATTCTAGAACTGTTTATCTATTTTGTACAGCGCTATGCAGAATAAGATCACACAACAATGTGAGAGCATTAAGGACATGGAAGAGAACATTGATGCATTGACTGAGGAAATGAAGAAGGTAGGATATTAAGAGCCCTAGTAGTGTGTAAATTTTGGCTCATTCACTCAAAGCACCAAATGAAACAAAATATAACCACATCCAAACTATCCCATAGTGTGGTATTGTATAATTAATATCAGATTTTGTCATAGTGTGGTATTGTATAATTAATATCAGATTTTGTTGTTTTGTTCTGGTTGAGAGGAATTTAAATTTATTTGAGTTTGTTTACAGCTGACTGAGGTTTACACAGATACAGAACTGAGACTTGAGGAGACAACAAAAAACTTGACTGTCACCACAGATAACCTGATAAAAACAACGGAGAACTTACAGGGCACTCGACAAGAGCTGAAGGTCACTACACAGGAGCGTGATGAACAGACGTACCTAGTGGCAGAGCATGTGTCTACAGAGACCTGTTTGTATGGCCAGGCTAAACAGGTGTGTTCATGTGTCTACAGAGACCTGTTTGTATGGCCAGGCTAAACAGGTGTGTTACAGAGCATGTGTCTACAGAGACCTGTTTGTATGGCCAGGCTAAACAGGTGTGTTCATGTGTCTACAGAGACCTGTTTGTATGGCCAGGCTAAACAGGTGTGTTACAGAGCATGTGTCTACAGAGACCTGTTTGTATGGCCAGGCTAAACAGGTGTGTTCATGTGTCTACAGAGACCTGTTTGTATGGCCAGGCTAAACAGGTGTGTTACAGAGCATGTGTCTACAGAGACCTGTTTGTATGGCCAGGCTAAACAGGTGCCTTTCTAACCCTGCTGTTCATTACTAAATTTACAACAGTTTATAATTTTTTATGGCCAAATTTCTCTGTCAATATTTTTTACTGATTTCAAATTTTAAAGAATTGAGATGCACATGGTTTTCGATTCACAAGATGATAGATCTTTCTGAATCTTGTGTATTTAGGTCACTGGTGTGTAACACACCGGAGATCTTCTGAATTTCGTGAATTCAGGTCACTGGTGTGTAACACACCGGAAATCTTTCTGAATCTGGTGCATTGAGGTCACTGGTGTGTAACACACCGGAGATCTTTCTGAATCTCGTGTATTTAGGTCACTGGCATGTTACACGCCTAAGATCTTTCTGAATCTTGTGTATTTAGGTCACTGGTGTGTAACACACCGGAGATCTTCTGAATTTCGTGAATTCAGGTCACTGGTGTGTAACACACCGGAAATCTTTCTGAATCTGGTGGATTGAGGTCACTGGTGTGTAACACACCGGAGATCTTCTGAATTTCGTGAATTCAGGTCACTGGTGTGTAACACACCGGAAATCTTTCTGAATCTGGTGCATTGAGGTCACTGGGGTGTAACACACCGGAGATCTTTCTGAATCTCGTGTATTTAGGGCACTGGCATGTAACATGCCTAAGATCTTAATGAATCTTGTGTATTTAGGTCACTGGCATGTTACACGCCTAAGATCTTAATGAATCTCGTGTATTAAGGTCACTGGCATGTAACACGCCTAAGATCTTTATGAATCTCGTGTATTTAGGTCACTGGCATGTTACACGCCTAAGATCTTTCTGAATCTCGTGTATTTAGGTCACTGGCATGTTACACGCCTAAGATCTTTCTGAATCTCGTGTATTTAGGGCACTGGCATGTAACATGCCTAAGATCTTTCTGAATCTCGTGTATTTAGGGCACTGGCATGTAACATGCCTAAGATCTTTCTGAATCTCGTGTAGTTATGTCACTGGCATGTAACATGCCTAAGATCTTTCTGAATCTCGTGTAGTTATGTCACTGGCATGTAACATGCCTAAGATCTTTCTGAATCTCATGTATTTAGGTCACTGGCATGTAACACGCCTTAGATCTTTATGAATCTCGTGTATTTAGGTCACTGGCATGTTACACGCCTAAGATCTTTCTGAATCTTGTGTATTTAGGTCACTGGTGTGTAACACACCGGAGATCTTCTGAATTTCGTGAATTCAGGTCACTGGTGTGTAACACACCGGAAATTTTTCTGAATCTGGTGCATTGAGGTCACTGGGGTGTAACACACCGGAGATCTTTCTGAATCTCGTGGATTTAGGTCACTGGCATGTAACACGCCTTAGATCTTTATGAATCTCGTGTATTTAGGTCACTGGCATGTTACACGCCTAAGATCTTAATGAATCTCGTGTATTAAGGTCACTGGCATGTAACACGCCTAAGATCTTTATGAATCTTGTGTATTTAGGTCACTGGCATGTTACACGCCTAAGATCTTAATGAATCTCGTGTATTAAGGTCACTGGCATGTAACACGCCTAAGATCTTTATGAATCTTGTGTATTTAGGTCACTGGCATGTTACACGCCTAAGATCTTAATGAATCTCGTGTATTAAGGTCACTGGCATGTAACACGCCTAAGATCTTTCTGAATCTCGTGTAGTTATGTCACTGGCATGTAACATGCCTAAGATCTTAATGAATCTTGTGTATTTAGGTCACTGGCATGTTACACGCCTAAGATCTTAATGAATCTCGTGTATTAAGGTCACTGGCATGTAACACGCCTAAGATCTTTATGAATCTTGTGTATTTAGGTCACTGGCATGTTACACGCCTAAGATCTTTCTGAATCTTGTGTATTTAGGTCACTGGTGTGTAACACACCGGAGATCTTTCTGAATCTCGTGGATTTAGGTCACTGGCATGTAACACGCCTAAGATCTTTATGAATCTTGTGTATTTAGGTCACTGGCATGTTACACGCCTAAGATCTTAATGAATCTCGTGTATTAAGGTCACTGGCATGTAACACGCCTAAGATCTTTATGAATCTTGTGTATTTAGGTCACTGGCATGTTACACGCCTAAGATCTTAATGAATCTCGTGTATTAAGGTCACTGGCATGTAACACGCCTAAGATCTTTCTGAATCTCGTGTAGTTATGTCACTGGCATGTAACATGCCTAAGATCTTTCTGAATCTCGTGTAGTTATGTCACTGGCATGTAACATGCCTAAGATCTTAATGAATCTTGTGTATTTAGGTCACTGGCATGTTACACGCCTAAGATCTTTCTGAATCTTGTGTATTTAGGTCACTGGTGTGTAACACACCGGAGATCTTTCTGAATCTCGTGGATTTAGGTCACTGGCATGTAACACGCCTAAGATCTTTATGAATCTTGTGTATTTAGGTCACTGGCATGTTACACGCCTAAGATCTTAATGAATCTCGTGTATTAAGGTCACTGGCATGTAACACGCCTAAGATCTTTATGAATCTTGTGTATTTAGGTCACTGGCATGTTACACGCCTAAGATCTTTCTGAATCTCGTGTATTTAGGGCACTGGCATGTAACATGCCTAAGATCTTAATGAATCTTGTGTATTTAGGTCACTGGCATGTTACACGCCTAAGATCTTAATGAATCTCGTGTATTAAGGTCACTGGCATGTAACACGCCTAAGATCTTTATGAATCTTGTGTATTTAGGTCACTGGCATGTTACACGCCTAAGATCTTAATGAATCTCGTGTATTAAGGTCACTGGCATGTAACACGCCTAAGATCTTTATGAATCTCGTGTATTTAGGTCACTGGCATGTTACACGCCTAAGATCTTTCTGAATCTTGTGTATTTAGGTCACTGGTGTGTAACACACCGGAGATCTTCTGAATTTCGTGAATTCAGGTCACTGGTGTGTAACACACCGGAAATCTTTCTGAATCTTGTGCATTGAGGTCACTGGTGTGTAACCCACCGGAGATCTTTCTGAATCTCGTGTATTTAGGGCACTGGCATGTAACATGCCTAAGATCTTAATGAATCTTGTGTATTTAGGTCACTGGCATGTTACACGCCTAAGATCTTAATGAATCTCGTGTATTAAGGTCACTGGCATGTAACACGCCTAAGATCTTTATGAATCTCGTGTATTTAGGTCACTGGCATGTTACACGCCTAAGATCTTAATGAATCTCGTGTATTAAGGTCACTGGCATGTAACACGCCTAAGATCTTTCTGAATCTCGTGTATTTAGGGCACTGGCATGTAACATGCCTAAGATCTTTCTGAATCTCGTGTATTTAGGGCACTGGCATGTAACATGCCTAAGATCTTAATGAATCTTGTGTATTTAGGTCACTGGCATGTTACACGCCTAAGATCTTAATGAATCTCGTGTATTAAGGTCACTGGCATGTAACACGCCTAAGATCTACCTGTATATTCCTCCCTGTAGTTACTGGCCACTGTAGACTGTAAGCTTTGATGAATCATTTATCTACCTGTATATTCCTCTCTGTAGTTACTGGCCACTGTCGACTGTATATTTTGATGAATCATTTATCTACCTGTATATTCCTCTCTGTAGTTACTGGCCACTGTAGACTGTAAACTTTGATGAATCATTTATCTACCTGTATATTCCTCCCTGTAGTTACTGGTCACTGTAAACTTTGATGAATCATTAATCTACCTGTATATTCCTCCCTGTAGTTACTGGTCACTGTAAACTTTGATGAATCATTAATCTACCTGTATATTCCTCCCTGTAGTAATTGGTCACTGTAAACTTTGATGAATCATTAATCTACCTGTATATTCCTCTCTGTAGTTACTGGCTACTGCAGACTGTAAACTTTGATGAATCATTAATCTACCTGTATATTCCTCCCTGTAGTTACTGGCTACTGTAGACTCTGCCCTGACAGATATAGACGGTCTCCACAGTAAGCTGGATAGGAAGAAGGAAGTAGAGATGAGTAATGAGGAATGTCAGCTAAAGTTCAAGGAACGCTTCCAGAACCAGATAAGTCAAATGGAGGAAGGTGTCAGCAGCTTCTTAACAACAACAAAGAAATATCAGAGCTGTCTGTTAGATAATACAGGTAACATTTTGTTTTGTTTTTTTGTTTTGATATTTGTTAGACAGGAGAGCATAGACCAAAACAGAACTTGTTTTCCCATATTTGATTCAGATACTGCTCTAAGGATTTGGAATATTCCCAAAAATATTTGTATTACTGTATGCTTGATGTAAATCATTTACAAACAGCTGTCTATAAGTTCTTTTTGTCTTCAATATAAACACAAATTCTAAAATGGACAAATTGATATTTACAGAACATGACAAAAAGATGTCATTTTTGAGTGATGTTCCACAATTATACAAACCAAAACTATAAGTGCTTGACCAACCAAACTTGATATGTGCACTGATGGTCAAAGCGGGGCACAGGTGAGACATATCATTCTCTTACCCTGGACAGGTGTATCCGCACTTCTACTGGTGTGAGATTTCCTTGTCTCACCCTAGGGTTGTGACGGGGGGATTCCCCTATTCATAACAATTGCATGACGTCACTTCAACAATACAATGACGTCACGTCAACAATCCATCAACGTCATGTCAACCCTGAATTTAGCATGTAACGTTATCATTACATTGTGTATATGATACACAATGGGAGAACAGGGTAAGAGAAAAAGAATCATTCACCCCCTTGTGGGTGAGATAGGGGAATCTCAACCCTCGGGGATAGAATCTTAAGTTGCCAAACACTCGGCATAGCCTCGTTTTTGGCAACTTAAGAATCTTCCCCCTCGGGTTGAGATTCTCCTATCTCACCCACAAGGGGGTGAATGATTCTATTAATCTGAATGGCTTGTTAGATAATGCTCCAAAACCTTTATTTTTCCTGCACGTTTTAGTGAGTCTGCTACAGCAACAGCAGGAGCAGACGTCCGTCACCTGTCAGTCGGTAACTAACCACCAACAGAGACTGACTGACCGGGCGGGGGTTGTCAGTCAGCACAGCAGTGACCAGACTGACCTACACTCAGCATGGCTGGACAGAGTTCAAGAAGCTACAGCATCTACGCAAGTGAGTTGAAACACTGTTTAATGATTAGTGTACTCTGTGTCAGAGGATAACTGTGTTGCTGCAGAAATAGATCATTAATATAGAGGTTATTACACATAACTAAATATAGTCAAATTGAAATATTCATTTTCCGCACATTTATGATAACATTCAATTTTAGCTTACATTGTGATATGAGTCATTTGCAAAGATTTTGTTTAAACTAGAAAACCAATCATACTAATTTTGCATAAACTAGGATACCGTTCATTCTAATTTTACATTTACATGAACTAGGATTTAGTTGATGTTAAATTACATCTACCAGAGGATAAATTTGCTCCTATTTCACTCGATTCATCAACACCTGAACTACAATATAAACTTTATTTATTCTACAACAATTATTATACAAGCTACATGACTTATATTAATCATTCTTGTTGGCCTGGAATGGAACCCCGACTGCCTTGGTGAAAGGCGAGTGAGTGCACTATGCACTGTGCCACCTATGAACAATACACACTTAATTCATTTAGTCCCAGTGATACTGTTTGTTTGTATAAATGGAGAACAACGACTATATGTCTGATAATTCATTTAGTCTCAGTGACACTGTTTGTTTGTATAAATGGAGAACAACGACTATATGTCTGATAATTCATTTAGTCCCAGTGATACTGTTTGTTTGTATAAATGGAGAACAACGACTATATGTCTGATAATTCATTTAGTCCCAGTGATACTGTTTGTTTGTATAAATGGAGAACAACGACTATATGTCTGATAATTCATTTAGTCCCAGTGATACTGTTTGTTTGTATAAATGGAGAACAACGACTATATGTCTGATAATTCATTTAGTCCCAGTGATACTGTTTGTTTGTATAGATGGAGAACAACGACTATATGTCTGATAATTCATTTAGTCCCAGTGATACTGTTTGTTTGTATAGATGGAGAACAACGACTATATGTCTGATAATTCATTTAGTCCCAGTGATACTGTTTGTTTGTATAGATGGAGAACAACGACTATATGTCTGATAATTCATTTAGTCCCAGTGATACTGTTTGTTTGTATAGATGGAGAACAACGACTATATGTCTGATAATTCATTTAGTCCCAGTGATACTGTTTGTTTGTATAGATGGAGAACAACGACTATATGTCTGATAATTCATTTAGTCCCAGTGATACTGTTTGTTTGTATAGATGGAGAACAACGACTATATGTCTGATAATTCATTTAGTCCCAGTGATACTGTTTGTTTGTATAGATGGAGAACAACGACTATATGTCTGATAATTCATTTAGTCCCAGTGATACTGTTTGTTTGTATAGATGGAGAACAACGACTATATGTCTGATAATTCATTTAGTCCCAGTGATACTGTTTGTTTGTATAGATGGAGAACAACGACTATATGTCTGATAATTCATTTAGTCCCAGTGATACTGTTTGTTTGTATAGATGGAGAACAACGACTATATGTCTGATAATTCATTTAGTCCCAGTGATACTGTTTGTTTGTATAGATGGAGAACAACGACTATATGTCTGATAATTCATTTAGTCCCAGTGATACTGTTTGTTTGTATAGATGGAGAACAACGACTATATGTCTGATAATTCATTTAGTCCCAGTGATACTGTTTGTTTGTATAGATGGAGAACAACGACTATATGTCTGATAATTCATTTAGTCCCAGTGATACTGTTTGTTTGTATAGATGGAGAACAACGACTATATGTCTGATAATTCATTTAGTCCCAGTGATACTGTTTGTTTGTATAGATGGAGAACAACGACTATATGTCTGATAATTCATTTAGTCCCAGTGATACTGTTTGTTTGTATAGATGGAGAACAACGACTATATGTCTGATAATTCATTTAGTCCCAGTGATACTGTTTGTTTGTATAGATGGAGAACAACGACTATATGTCTGATAATTCATTTAGTCCCAGTGATACTGTTTGTTTGTATAGATGGAGAACAACGACTATATGTCTGATAATTCATTTAGTCCCAGTGATACTGTTTGTTTGTATAGATGGAGAACAACGACTATATGTCTGATAATTCATTTAGTCCCAGTGATACTGTTTGTTTGTATAGATGGAGAACAACGACTATATGTCTGATAATTCATTTAGTCCCAGTGATACTGTTTGTTTGTATAGATGGAGAACAACGACTATATGTCTGATAATTCATTTAGTCCCAGTGATACTGTTTGTTTGTATAGATGGAGAACAACGACTATATGTCTGATAATTCATTTAGTCCCAGTGATACTGTTTGTTTGTATAGATGGAGAACAACGACTATATGTCTGATAATTCATTTAGTCCCAGTGATACTGTTTGTTTGTATAGATGGAGAACAACGACTATATGTCTGATAATTCATTTAGTCCCAGTGATACTGTTTGTTTGTATAGATGGAGAACAACGACTATATGTCTGATAATTCATTTAGTCCCAGTGATACTGTTTGTTTGTATAGATGGAGAACAACGACTATATGTCTGATAATTCATTTAGTCCCAGTGATACTGTTTGTTTGTATAGATGGAGAACAACGACTATATGTCTGATAATTCATTTAGTCCCAGTGATACTGTTTGTTTGTATAGATGGAGAACAACGACTATATGTCTGATAATTCATTTAGTCCCAGTGATACTGTTTGTTTGTATAGATGGAGAACAACGACTATATGTCTGATAATTCATTTAGTCCCAGTGATACTGTTTGTTTGTATAGATGGAGAACAACGACTATATGTCTGATAATTCATTTAGTCCCAGTGATACTGTTTGTTTGTATAGATGGAGAACAACGACTATATGTCTGATAATTCATTTAGTCCCAGTGATACTGTTTGTTTGTATAGATGGAGAACAACGACTATATGTCTGATAATTCATTTAGTCCCAGTGATACTGTTTGTTTGTATAGATGGAGAACAACGACTATATGTCTGATAATTCATTTAGTCCCAGTGATACTGTTTGTTTGTATAGATGGAGAACAACGACTATATGTCTGATAATTCATTTAGTCCCAGTGATACTGTTTGTTTGTATAGATGGAGAACAACGACTATATGTCTGATAATTCATTTAGTCCCAGTGATACTGTTTGTTTGTATAGATGGAGAACAACGACTATATGTCTGATAATTCATTTAGTCCCAGTGATACTGTTTGTTTGTATAGATGGAGAACAACGACTATATGTCTGATAATTCATTTAGTCCCAGTGATACTGTTTGTTTGTATAGATGGAGAACAACGACTATATGTCTGATAATTCATTTAGTCCCAGTGATACTGTTTGTTTGTATAGATGGAGAACAACGACTATATGTCTGATAATTCATTTAGTCCCAGTGATACTGTTTGTTTGTATAGATGGAGAACAACGACTATATGTCTGATAATTCATTTAGTCCCAGTGATACTGTTTGTTTGTATAGATGGAGAACAACGACTATATGTCTGATAATTCATTTAGTCCCAGTGATACTGTTTGTTTGTATAGATGGAGAACAACGACTATATGTCTGATAATTCATTTAGTCCCAGTGATACTGTTTGTTTGTATAGATGGAGAACAACGACTATATGTCTGATAATTCATTTAGTCCCAGTGATACTGTTTGTTTGTATAGATGGAGAACAACGACTATATGTCTGATAATTCATTTAGTCCCAGTGATACTGTTTGTTTGTATAGATGGAGAACAACGACTATATGTCTGATAATTCATTTAGTCCCAGTGATACTGTTTGTTTGTATAGATGGAGAACAACGACTATATGTCTGATAATTCATTTAGTCCCAGTGATACTGTTTGTTTGTATAGATGGAGAACAACGACTATATGTCTGATAATTCATTTAGTCCCAGTGATACTGTTTGTTTGTATAGATGGAGAACAACGACTATATGTCTGATAATTCATTTAGTCCCAGTGATACTGTTTGTTTGTATAGATGGAGAACAACGACTATATGTCTGATAATTCATTTAGTCCCAGTGATACTGTTTGTTTGTATAGATGGAGAACAACGACTATATGTCTGATAATTCATTTAGTCCCAGTGATACTGTTTGTTTGTATAGATGGAGAACAACGACTATATGTCTGATAATTCATTTAGTCCCAGTGACACTGTTTGTTTGTATAGATGGAGAACAACAACTATATGTCTGATAATTCATTTAGTCCCAGTGATACTGTTTGTTTGTATAGATGGAGAACAACGACTATATGCCTGATACAAGCTAGTTTGGGTATGTTGTATACATGAGTCGTCGTGCCATTAAGTTAGAGTAGTTTGTGACTTAACATTTTAAAAAAAACTTGTAAATATGTATATGAAACTAAACAAATGATATCTCTTCTGATTTATATATGCCAGGAATGTTTGTAAATTTCAGTCAGAGCAAACAGAAGCACTTACAGATTTCCAGAATAATACGTTTGAGCCTGCTGTTCAGCATGCAGTAGATTCCAACAAACTCTCAGCCACCATCCTTCAGAGGCAGATAGAGCTTTTACACGCTCAGGGTTGTAACTTTTATCCTGTTCTATTAAAAAAACAGGATCTGACACCATCCTTCAGAGACACATAGAACTTTTACACTCTCAGGTTTGTAACTTTTATCCTGTTCTATTAAAAAAACAGTATATGACACCATCCTTCAGAGACACATAGAACTTTTACACTCTCAGGTTTGTAACTTTTATCCTGTTCTATTAAAAAAACAGTATTTGACACCATCCTTCAGAGACACATAGAACTTTTACCCGCTCAGGTTTGTAACTTTTATCCTGTTCTATTAAAAAAACAGTATTTGACACCATCCTTCAGAGACACATAGAACTTTTACCCGCTCAGGTTTGTAACTTTTATCCTGTTCTATTAAAAAAACAGTATATGACACCATCCTTCAGAGACACATAGAACTTTTACACTCTCAGGTTTGTAACTTTTATCCTGTTCTATTAAAAAAACAGTATCTGACACCATCCTTCAGAGACACATATAACTTTTACACGCTCAGGTTTGTAACTTTTATCCTGTTATATTAAAAAAACAGTATCTGACACCATCCTTCAGAGACACATATAACTTTTACACGCTCAGGTTTGTAACTTTTATCCTGTTATATTAAAAAAACAGTATCTGACACCATCCTTCAGAGACACATATAACTTTTACACGCTCAGGTTTGTAACTTTTATCCTGTTCTATTAAAAAAACAGTATCTGACACCAGCCTTCAGAGACACATAGAACTTTTACACGCTCAGGTTTTTAACTTTTATCCTGTTCTATAATAAAACCAGTATCTGACAGCATCCTTCAGAGGCAGATAGAGCTTTTACACGCTCAGGTTTGTATCTTTTATCCTGTTCTTTAATAAAACCAGTATCGGACACCATCCTTCAGAGGCAGATAGAGCTTTTACACGCTCAGGGTTGTAACTTTTATCCTGTTCTATAATAAAACCAGTATCTGACAGCATCCTTCAGAGGCAGATAGAGCTTTTACACGCTCAGGGTTGTAACTTTTATCCTGTTCTATAATAAAACCAGTATCTGACAGCATCCTTCAGAGGCAGATAGAGCTTTTACACGCTCAGGGTTGTAACTTTTATCCTGTTCTATTAAAAAAACAGTATCTGACACCATCCTTCAGAGACACATATAACTTTTACACGCTCAGGTTTGTAACTTTTATCCTGTTCTTTAATAAAACCAGTATCGGACACCATCCTTCAGAGGCAGATAGAGCTTTTACACGCTCAGGTTTGTAACTTTTATCCTGTTATATTAAAAAAACAGTATCTGACACCATCCTTCAGAGACAGTATCTGACACCATCCTTCAGAGGCAGATAGAGCTTTTACACGCTCAGGTTTGTAACTTTTATCCTGTTCTATTAAAAAAACAGTATCTGACACCATCCTTCAGAGACACATAGAACTTTTACACGCTCAGGTTTGTAACTTTTATCCTGTTCTATAATAAAACCAGAATCTGACATAATCCTTTAGAGACAAATACTTATTCTAGATCCCAGCCACAAACCTTCAGACATTTGTACGCCATCACGTAAGGATTGAACAGCATTAGTCAGTGTCCATGCTGATGAATGCGACATGACCACTGAAAAATGCTGTTCAATCCTTATGTTTACATTCTAAATTTTGTTATTATATTATATTGTCTAAATATAGGTATTCACTTATTTATTCGATGTTTAAGTGTCTGTATTGTCAGTGCATACAAGATTCTTAAAACAGCATAATGTCACCAAAATGTTTGCTTCTTACAGTTGTCCCACTTTATTTGAGGTGGGAGGAGAGGCTTCAGAATGACACTGATCCGATTGTGTTCATAAAGCACTGTGAACACAGTTTCTTCTGGTAATATGCACGCAGAGGGAATATACAATCCTACAAATAAACGTTTTATGTACCACGTTTAGTTTACTGGGGTGGTAATCACACTTTGTCAATCTTTGTGTACTTAGTAAAAAGCGTGTGTATAAGATATATCATGAACCTCAACAGATTTGGTTCCTATATACACCATAGTTTGGTAATATCAAGTTATTGACGTGTATAGATTTTGTTGGTCATCAGTAAAGGTCACACTTGACCACTTTGTGTGGTTGAGGGGTATATCTACGTGAGTCTCTGCTCACTTTGTTTTTACTTACCATGTACACAAACAGTAATATTTACTATACATTGTACATTGGTGCTGTTTGTTTCAGAAAACTGAGCAAGAACAGATAGTGAACAAATTCATGTCCACAACCACAGCAGGCCTGGAGAATCTGACCACACTGGTGGGGGATTTCTTCACGCAAATGACGGCTGACCTTGACGAGACGGAGAGGCACACAGCGGAGGAAGAAAGACTGGATCAGGTGTGATATATCTCCTATAACAACTTCTGGGCCATATTCATGAAACTGTTCTCATGCTTCAGGATGAATTCTGTGCTCAAGTCAGCTTTCTTGTACCGGACTTAAATCATGGAACATGGTCAAAAAGCCAAGTCATTGAAAACAGTATTTGGTTCATGTTTACACTATAGTGTGGTAATATCAAGTTCTTTGCCTGATTAGGTTAAGGTGGTCATAAGTCAAGGTTAAAGGTCAAGCTTGACCACATTGTGCAGTTTAGGGGTATATCTATGTGAGCCTGTTCTCACTATCTTATTACTTACATTTTACACAATTATTTTTCATCAGTGACAAATTGTGATTATTATCTAGCAGTTATATTGTCCATAGCTTCATATGTGTCATCATCCCTTTTATAGCATTGTCTTCAATTTTTACCATGCTCAGGAACTGGAGGACACGATGCTGCAGCACCGGCAGAAACGCTTAGAACTGCTCAAACAGGTAAGGGTCTTGTTCTCCTGGAGGCAGAGAGCTTCCTTACATAGCTTCTCAATATGAGGGGCACATCTCCAGAAGAAGCCACCTCTGGAAAAGTCACTCAAAGGACAAGTGGTCTCATAATGCTATTTGGTGTCCATTGTCCGTCCATCTGGTGGTGTCAATTGTCCGTCCATCTGGTGGTGTCCATTGTCCGGTTATTTTCTGCTTGGATACCATTCAATTATGATGAAACTTGGTATGCATGTACTTTAAGTTCGAAGTTGAGCAAAATCCGCACATAAATAATTAGCATACTGTACTCTGATTGATCAATTTCCAAAACTTTAGTTTCCGTCAGATAACTTCAACAAAAATCAATCAATTTTGATGAAACTTGGTATATATGTATATATACATTATACACAGCTGTACTGAGGCTAAGTTTGATGCATAATTAATTAGCATTCTGTGCTCTGATTTGTTGATGGCTTCTGCACAATGACTTCAAATATGAATGGATTCTGATGTTTACGCTATACAATGACAATGGTTACCTTTAAAGGTACATTGCACATGATTAATTAGCATAATGCTATCTGATTGGTCAACGGTTGATTCTGGTGACACGTAGTCAATATTTATACTTGGTGAACCTGTTATTGTCAAGGGTTAGGGCATTTTCAATTTCTATTTTCATGGTTTTGAAATGTGTGCAAAGGGAGGCAATTGCAAATATGTACTGTTGTTCACAATAAGTTGAGGTTGATGTTTTTTGTGTTCTGACAGACCAGGAATCGTAAGCTATCCAGACAGCGGGCAGTGCGACAATTCCGCGACACGTTAGTAGAGTAAGTCCTACATTAACATGTTTCATGTAACTCTTTGTCTAAAGAAAATCTTCTGAAGTGAACCGAGTCCAGTGTAAATTTACTCAAATAAATGACATCGTCACATTTTCAAGGTCACTTGTGTCAGACATGTGTCAAAACCTTTAAGTATCTTCTTTACAATCAAATGCCAAGGTCAATGAAATTAAGCTTGTAGCATGCAAGATTTAAAGCTGTCATCTTTGCTTAAGTTAACTTATATTTGACTCGCATTTAAAACAGATGAGCATATTTGCTAACAGCCGTGAATAACAGGCGAGCGATACAGGTCCATTGGGCCTCTTAATGTTGATGCTGGAAATATCACTGAATTTTCAAGTTTTATGGAGAGGGCATTAAGTATCTGCCTTTTCCATGAGTCCATCTGTCTTGACCAGAAGTCTTGACCTCTGGTCAGCTCTATCACTCTGTCACCAATGTAACAAGGCTAGATGACCAGGTGGGGATGGTTTGAGTAGATACACCTTACAGATTACCACTGTGACACCAATGTTACAAGGCTAGATGACCAGGAGGGGATGGTGTGAGTGGATACACCTTATAGATTACCTCTGTGACACCAATGTTACAAGGCTAGATGACCAGGTGGGGATGGTGTGAGTGCATACACCTTACAGATTACCACTGTGACACCAATGTTACAAGGCTAGATGACCAGGAGGGGATGGTGTGAGTGGATACACCTTATAGATTACCTCTGTGACACCAATGTTACAAGGCTAGATGACCAGGTGGGGATTGTGTGAGTGGATACACCTTATAGATTACCACTGTGACACCAATGTTACAAGGCTAGATGAACAGGTGGGGATGGTGTGAGTGGATACACCTTATAGATTACCTCTGTGACACCAATGTTACAAGGCTAGATGACCAGGTGGGGATTGTGTGAGTGGATACACCTTATAGATTACCACTGTGACACCAATGTAACAAGGCTAGATGACCAGGTGGGGATGGTTTGAGTGGATACACCTTATAGATTACCACTGTGACACCAATGTCACAAGGCTAGATGACCAGGGGGGGATGGTGTGAGTGGATACACCTTACAGATTACTACTGTGACACCAATGTTACAAGGCTAGATGACCAGGTTGGGATGGTGTGAGTGGATACACCTTATAGATTACCACTGTGACACCAATGTCACAAGGCTAGATGACCAGGTGGGGATGGGGTGAGTGGATACACCTTATAGATTACCACTGTGACACCAATGTAACAAGGCTAGATGACCAGGGGGGGATGGTGTGAGTGGATACACCTTACAGATTACCAATGTCACAAGGCTAGATGACCAGGTGGGGATGGGGTGAGTGGATACACCTTATAGATTACTACTGTGACACCAATGTTACAAGGCTAGATGACCAGGTGGGGATGGGGTGAGTGGATACACCTTATAGATTACCACTGTGACACCAATGTAACAAGGCTAGATGACCAGGTGGGGATGGTTTGAGTGGATACACCTTATAGATTACCACTGTGACACCAATGTAACAAGGCTAGATGACCAGGTGGGGATGGTTTGAGTGGATACACCTTATAGATTACCACTGTGACACCAATGTAACAAGGCTAGATGACCAGGTGGGGATGGTTTGAGTGGATACACCTTATAGATTACCACTGTGACACCAATGTAACAAGGCTAGATGACCAGGTGGGGATGGTTTGAGTGGATACACCTTATAGATTACCACTGTGACACCAATGTAACAAGGCTAGATGACCAGGTGGGGATGGTGTGAGTGGATACACCTTACAGATTACCAATGTCACAAGGCTAGATGACCAGGTGGGGATGGGGTGAGTGGATACACCTTATAGATTACCACTGTGACACCAATGTAACAAGGCTAGATGACCAGGTGGGGATGGTGTGAGTGGATACACCTTACGGATTACCACTGTGACACCAATGTTACAAGGCTAGATGACCAGGTTGGGATGGTGTGAGTGGATACACCTTATAGATTACCACTGTGACACCAATTTTACAAATGTACACTACTGTGATCTACATTTCCCATTTTACCAGATTTGCTAAGACTTTGCATTAAATTTCCTTTCTTATTTTTTTCCATGCATGAGTTACAAACATTTTCTACTTAGTATTAGATGTGACCAGAAAGATATCAAAATGTGACAACAATGTTCCAGAAAATGTCCAAAAATAGAACTATTGTCTCATCTTGCAGTAATCTACAGGAAGTGCGGACAGGAGCCGACCAGACAAAGCCGGAACTGATGGGAGTTGTAGCCTCTAACTGTACCAACAACCAGACTGACCTCTCACAGGTAAGGAGGGAGGGGACAGTGTACATTCTGTAGCGTGTGTGTGACCTATATATATATAACAACCAGACTGACCTCTCACAAGTAAGGAGGGAGGGGACAGTGTACATTCTGTAGCGTGTGTGTGACCTATATATATATAACAACCAGACTGACCTCTCACAGGTAAGGAGGGAGGGGTCAGCAAACATTCTGTAGGGTGTGTGTGACATATATATATACAACAACCAGACTGACCTCTCACAAGTAAGGAGGGAGGGGACAGTGTACATTCTGTAGGGTGTGTGTGACCTATATATATACAACAACCAGACTGACCTCTCACAGGTAAGGAGGGAGGGGACAGTGTACATTCTGTAGGGTGTGTGTGACATATATATATACAACAACCAGACTGACCTCTCACAGGTAAGGAAGGAGGGGACAGCAAACATTCTGTAGGGGGTGTGTGACCTATATATATAACAACCAGACTGACCTCTCACAGGTAAGGAGGGAGGGGTCAGTGTACATTCTGTAGGGTGTGTGTGACCTATATATATACAACAACCAGACTGACCTCTCACAGGTAAGGAGGGAGGGGACAGTGTACATTCTGTAGGGTGTGTGTGACATATATATATACAACAACCAGACTGACCTCTCACAGGTAAGGAAGGAGGGGACAGCAAACATTCTGTAGGGGGTGTGTGACCTATATATATAACAACCAGACTGACCTCTCACAGGTAAGGAGGGAGGGGTCAGTGTACATTCTGTAGGGTGTGTGTGACCTATATATATACAACAACCAGACTGACCTCTCACAGGTAAGGAGGGAGGGGACAGTGTACATTCTGTAGGGTGTGTGTGACATATATATATACAACAACCAGACTGACCTCTCACAGGTAAGGAAGGAGGGGACAGCAAACATTCTGTAGGGGGTGTGTGACCTATATATATAACAACCAGACTGACCTCTCACAGGTAAGGAGGGAGGGGTCAGTGTACATTCTGTAGGGTGTGTGTGACCTATATATATACAACAACNACATTCTGTAGGGTGTGTGTGACCTATAAATATAACAACCAGACTGACCTCTCACAGGTAAGGAGGGAGGGGTCAGTGTACATTCTGTAGGGTGTGTGTGACCTATAAATATAACAACCAGACTGACCTCTCACAGGTAAGGAGGGAGGGGGCAGTGTACATTCTGTAGGGTGTGTGTGACTTATATATATAACAACCAGTGTGACCTAACACAGGTAAGGAGGGAGGGGGCAGCAAGCATTCTGTAGGGGATGTGATTTATTAAGTGATATCTACCCATAGATAGCTAGAAACAGACTACATTTTGTTATACTAAGGAAAAGAGAATATTCTTTTATAACTTTTGCCCTGAAATATACTGATTGTTTGGTGAAATTTGTCAATGTTGTGTGGCCAGGTGCTGACGGAGGTGGACAAGTCTACAGGGACGTGTGAGGACATCAGACAGAACGTCAGAGATATAAACAGCCACACCCAGCAGGTACGTCCTCAACATTAAAATACTCCCCAACAAACTGTCTTACTGTTTACACAATTACCCTAACCCTAACCCAGCAGGTACGTCCTCAACATTCAAATACTCCCAAACAAACTGTCTTACTGTTTACACAATTACCCTAACCCAGCAGATAAGTCCTCAACATTAAAATACTCCCAAACAAACTGTTGTACCGTTTACACAATTACCCTACCCCTAACCCAGCAGGTACGTCCTCCACATTAAAATACTCCCAAACAAACTGTTGCACCGGTTACACAATTACCCTAACCCCAACCCAGCAGGAACATCCTCAACATTAAAATACTCCCAAACAAACTGTTGTACCGTTTACACAATTACCCTAACACCAACCCAGCAGGTACATCCTCAACATTAAAATACTCCCAAACAAACTGTCGTACCGTTTACACAAATACTCCCAAACAAACTGTCTTACTGTTTACACAATTACCCTAACCCTAACCCAGCAGGTACGTCCTCAACATTGAAATAGTCCCAAACAAAACTGTCTTACTGTTTACACAATTACCCTAACTCTAACCCAGCAGATAAGTCCTCAACATTAAAATACTCCCAAACAAACTGTCGTACCGTTTACACAAATACTCCCAAACAAACTGTCTTACCGTTTACACAATTACACTAAGTCTACAGAGACGTGTGAGGACATCAGACAGAAAATCAGAGATATAAACAGCCACACCCAGCAGGTACGTCCTCAACATTAAAATACTCCCAAACAAACTGTCTTACCGTTTACACAATTACCCTAACCCTAACCCAGCAGGTACATCCTCAACATTAAAATGCTCCCAAACAAACTGTCTTACCGTTTACACAATTACCCTAACCCTAACCCAGCAGATAAGTCCTCAACATTAAAATACTCCCAAACAAACTGTCGTACCGTTTACACAAATAATCCCAAACAAACTGTCTTACTGTTTTCACAATTACCCTAACCCTAACCCAGCTACCCTAACCCTAACCCAGCAGATAAGTCCTCAAAACTGTCGTACCGTTTACACAAATAATCCCAAACAAACTGTCTTACCGTTTACACAAATACTCCCAAACAAACTGTCTTACCGTTTACACAATTACCCTAACCCAGCAGATAAGTCCTCAACATTAAAATACTCCCAAACAAACTGTCCCAAGAAGTCCCCACATAGTGAATGGCTAGTAAATGATCAAGAAGTCTCCACATAGTAAATGGCTAGTAAATGACCAAGAAGTCTCCACATAGTGAATGGCTAGTAAATGACCAAGAAGTCTCCACATAGTATATGGCTTGTAAATGACCAAGAAGTCTCCACATAGTGAATGGCTAGTAAATGACCAAGAAGTCTCCACATAGTAAATGGCTAGTAAATGACCAAGAGGTTTCCACATAGTAAGTGGCTAGTAAATGACCAAGAAGTCTCCACATAGTATATGGCTAGTAAATGACCAAGAAGTCTCCACATAGTAAGTGGCTAGTAAATAACCAAGAAGTCCCCACATAGTGAATGGCTAGTAAATAACCAAGTAGTCTCCACATAGTCAATGGCTAGTAAATGACCAAGAAGTCTCCACATAGTATATGGCTAGTAAATGACCAAGAAGTCCCCACATAGTAAGTGGCTAGTAAATAACCAAAAAGTACCCACATAGTATATGGCTAGTAAATGACCAAGAAGTCCCCACATAGTAAATGGCTAGTAAATAACCAAGAAGTCCCCACATAGTAAATGGCTAGTAAATAACCAAGAAATCTCCGCATAGTAAATGGCTCACAAACAAATCACAATCCATGATAAAAATAATAAGCTCAGGACTATCAGGTATAAACTATTTCTTTTCCTCAACCTGGTCATCAACATCCCAGTGTTTTGTATGTCCTAGTAGACACAACAGTAATGGTACAGTCCTAGATCATTGTCTATATGTGTGTATGTCCTAGTAGACCCAACAGTAACAGTAATTGTACAGCCCTATATCATGGTCTATATGTTTGTATGGCCTAGAAGACACAACAGTTACAGCAATGGTACAGCCCTAGCGTTGTCTATATGTTTGTACAAGTACCTTCTTTTGTGTGTGGACAGGTTTGGGTGCAGCATTTAGCAACAATTACAGAGAGAACCGCTGAGCACAGGGAAGTGATACGATCAGGACAGGAACACCACAACACCTTAACACAGGTAAGATCTAGTGTTACAGACGCAGACATCTAGACAAGCTATAACACAGGAAAGATAGGCCATAACACAGGTAAGGTCTAGTGTTACAGACAGAGACATCTAGACAGGCATCATTGTCTATATGTCTGTATGTCCTAGTAGACACAAAAGTAATAGTAATGGTCCAGCCCTATATCATTGTATATATGTTTGTATGTCATAGTAGACACAACAGTACCAGTAATGGTACAGTCCTAGATCATTGTCTATATGTCTGTATGTCCTAGTAGACCCAACAGTAACAGTAATTGTACAGCCCTATATCATGGTCTATATGTTTGTACAAGTACCTTCTTTTGTGTGCCTATATCATTGTCTGTATGTTTGTATGTCCGAGTAGACACAACAGTAACAGACAGGCTATAACACAGGGAAGATCTAGTGTTACAGAGACACAACAGTAACAGACAGGCTATAACACAAGAATGATCTAGTGTTACAGACGCAGACATCTAGACAAGCCATAACACAGGTAAGGTCTAGTGTTACAGACGCAGACATCTAGACAAGCCATAACACAGGTAAGACCTAGTGTTACAGACACTGACATCTAGACAGGCTATAACACAAGTATGATCTAGTGTTCCAGACACAGACATCTAGACAAGCTATAACACAGGTATGATCTAGTGTTCCAGACACAGACATCTAGACAGGCTATAAGACAAGTATGATCTAGTGTTCCAGACACAGACATCTAGACAGGTTATAACACAGGTAAGATAGGCCATAACACAGGTAAGACCTAGTGTTACAGACAGAGACATCTAGACAGGCATCATTGTCTATATGTGTGTATGTCCTAGTAGACACACCCAGTGTTTTGTATGTCCTAGTAGACACAAAAGTAATAGTAATGGTCCAGCCCTATATCATTGTATATATGTTTGTATGTCTTAGTAGACACAACAGTAATAGTAATGGGACAGCCCTATATCATGGTCTATATGTTTGTACAAGTACCTTCTTTTGTGTGTGGACAGGTTTGGGTGCAGCATTTAGCAACAATTACAGAGAGAACTGCTGAGCACAGGGAAGTGATGCGATCAGGACAGGAACACCACAACACCTTAAAGACACAACAGTAACAGTAACGGTACAGCCCTATATCATGGTCTATATGTTTGTACAAGTACCTTCTTTTGTGTGTGGACAGGTTTGGGTGCAGCATTTAGCAACAATTACAGAGGGAACTGCTGAGCACAGGGAAGTGATGCGATCAGGACAGGAACACCACAACACCTTAACACAGGTAAGATCTAGTGGTACAGACACAGACGTCTAGACAGGCTATAACACAGGTAGGATCTAGTGTTACAGAGACACAACAGTAACAGACAGGCTATAACACAGGGAAGATCTAGTGTTACTGACACAGACATCTAGACAAGCGATAACACAGGTAAGATCTAGGGTTACAGACACAGACATCTAGACAAGCCATAACACAGGTAATATCGAGTGTTACATACACACGCCTCTAGACAGGCTATAAGACAAGTATGATCTAGAGTTTCAGACACAGACATCTAGACAAGCTATAACACAGGAAAGATAGGCCATAACACAGGTAATATCCAGTGTTACATACACACACCTCTAGACAGGCGATAACACAGGTAAGATAGGCCATAACACAGGGAAGATCTAGTGTTACAGAGACACAACAGTAACAGACAGGCTATAACACAAGTATGATCTAGTGTTCCAGACACAGACATCTATACAGGCCATAACACAGGTAATATCCAGCGTTACATACACACACCTCTAGACAGGCGATAACACAGGTAAGACCTAGTGTTACAGACACTGACATCTAGACAGGCATCATTGTCTATATGTCTGTATGTCCTAGTAGACACACCAGTAACAGTAATGGTACAGTCCTATATCATTGTCTGTATGTTTGTATGTCCGAGTAGACACAACAGTACCAGTAATGGTACAGTCCTATATCATTGTCTGTATGTTTGTATGTCCGAGTAGACACAACAGTACCAGTAATGGTACAGTCCTAGATCATTGTCTATATGTCTGTATGTCCTAGTAGACAACACAGTTAAAGTAATGGTACAGCCCTAGCGTTGTCTATATGTTTGTACAAGTACCTTCTTTTGTGTGTGGACAGGTTTGGGTGCAGCATTTAGCAACAATTACAGAGAGGACTGCTGAGCACAGGGAAGTGATACGATCAGGACAGGAACACCACAACACCTTAAAGACACAACAGTAACAGTAACGGTACAGCCCTATATCATGGTCTATATGTTTGTACAAGTACCTTCTTTTGTGTGTGGACAGGTTTGGGTGCAGCATTTAGCAACAATTACAGAGAGGACTGCTGAGCACAGGGAAGTGATGCGATCAGGACAGGAACACCACAACACCTTAACACAGGTAAGATAGGCCATAACACAGGTAATATCGAGTGTTACATACACACACCTCTAGACAGGCGATAACACAGGTAAGATCTAGTGTTACTGACACACACATCTAGACAGGCTATAACACAAGTATGATCTAGAGTTTCAGACACAGACATCTAGACAAGCCATAACACAGGTAAGGTCTAGTGTTACAGACAGAGACATCTAGACAGGTTATAACACAGGTAAGATCTAGGGTTACAGACACAGACATCTAGACAAGCTATAACACAGGTAAGATCTAGTGTTACTGACACAGACATCTAGACAGGTTATAACACAGGTAGGATCTAGTGTTACAGACGCAGACATCTAGACAAGCCATAACACAGGTAATATCCAGCGTTACATACACACACCTCTAGACAGGCGATAACACAGGGAAGATCTAGTGTTACTGACACAGACATCTAGACAGGTTATAACACAGGTAAGACCTAGTGTTACAGACAGAGACATCTAGACAGGCTATAAGACAAGTATGATCTAGTGTTCCAGACACAGACATCTAGACAGGCTATAACACAAGTATGATCTAGTGTTACAGACACAGACATCTATACAGGCCATAACACAGGTAAGATCTAGTGTTACATACACACACATTTAGACAGGCAATAACACAGGTAAGATCTAGTGTTACAGACAGACACATCTAGACAGGCCAAAGTTCATGCTGGTGTCTGGGCTGCAGCTTCAAACTCCTACAGGTCTGACATAAGCTGTATTTGGTATATTCAGACATAAGCTGTTTTTGGTATATTCTGTGTGTGGACAGGTTTGGGTGCAGCATTTAATATCATTGTCTATATGTTTGTATGTCCTAGTAGACACAACAGTAACAGTAATGGTACAGCCCTATATCATTGTCTATATGTTTGTACAAGTACCTTCTTTTGTGTGTGGACAGGTTTGGGTGCAGCATTTAGCAACAATTACAGAGAGAACTGCTGAGCACAGGGAAGTGATACGATCAGGACAGGAACACCACAACACCTTAACACAGGTAAGATCTAGTGTTACAGACAGACACATCCAGACAGGTTATAACACAGGTAAGATCTAGTGTTACTGACACAGACATCTAGACAGGCCATAACACAGGTAAGATCTAGTGTTACAGACACAGACATCTAGACAGGTTATAACACAGGTAGGATCTAGTGTTACAGACACAGACATCTAGACAAGCTATAACACAGGTAAGATAGGCCATAACACAGGTAATATCCAGTGTTACATACACACACCTCTAGACAGGCTATAACACAGGTAAGATCTAGTGTTACAGACACAGACATCTAGACAGGCTATAACACAAGTATGATCTAGTGTTACAGACACAGACATCTATACAGGCCATAACACAGGTAAGATCTAGTGTTACATACACACACATTTAGACAGGCAATAACACAGGTAAGATCTAGTGTTACAGACAGACACATCTAGACAGGCCAAAGTTCATGCTGGTGTCTGGGCTGCAGCTTCAAACTCCTACAGGTCTGACATAAGCTGTATTTGGTATATTCAGACATAAGCTGTTTTTGGTATATTCTGACATAAGCTGTATTTGGTATATTCTGACATAAGCTGTATTTGGTATATTCTGACATAAACTGTATTTGGTATATTCTGACATAAGCTGTATTTGGTATATTCTGACATAAACTGTATTTGGTATATTCAGACATAAGCTGTATTTGGTATATTCTGACATAAACTGTATTTGGTATATTCAGACATAAGCTGTATTTGGTATATTCAGACATAAACTGTATTTGGTATATTCAGACATAAGCTGTATTTGGTATATTCTGACATAAGCTGTATTTGGTATATTCTGACATAAGCTGTATTTGGTATATTCAGACATAAGCTGTATTTGGTATATTCTGACATAAGCTGTATTTGGTATATTCTGACATAAGCTGTATTTGGTATATTCAGACATAAGCTGTATTTGGTATATTCTGACATAAGCTGTATTTGGTATATTCTGACATAAGCTGTATTTGGTATATTCAGACATAAGCTGTATTTGGTATATTCTGACATAAGCTGTATTTGGTATATTCTGACATAAGCTGTATTTGGTATATTCAGACATAAGCTGTATTTGGTATATTCTGACATAAGCTGTATTTGGTATATTCTGACATAAGCTGTATTTGGTATATTCAGACATAAGCTGTATTTGGTATATTCTGACATAAGCTGTATTTGGTATATTCTGACATAAGCTGTATTTGGTATATTCAGACATAAGCTGTATTTGGTATATTCTGACATAAGCTGTATTTGGTATATTCTGACATAAGCTGTATTTGGTATATTCAGACATAAGCTGTATTTGGTATATTCTGACATAAGCTGTATTTGGTATATTCTGACATAAGCTGTATTTGGTATATTCAGACATAAGCTGTATTTGGTATATTCTGACATAAGCTGTATTTGGTATATTCTGACATAAGCTGTATTTGGTATATTCAGACATAAGCTGTATTTGGTATATTCTGACATAAGCTGTATTTGGTATATTCTGACATAAGCTGTATTTGGTATATTCAGACATAAGCTGTATTTGGTATATTCTGACATAAGCTGTATTTGGTATATTCTGACATAAGCTGTATTTGGTATATTCAGACATAAGCTGTATTTGGTATATTCTGACATAAGCTGTATTTGGTATATTCTGACATAAGCTGTATTTGGTATATTCAGACATAAGCTGTATTTGGTATATTCTGACATAAGCTGTATTTGGTATATTCAGACATAAGCTGTATTTGGTATATTCTGACATAAGCTGTATTTGGTATATTCAGACATAAGCTGTTTTTGGTATATTCTGACATAAACTGTATTTGGTATATTCAGACATAAGCTGTATTTGGTATATTCTGACATAAGCTGTATTTGGTATATTCAGACATAAGCTGTTTTTGGTATATTCTGACATAAACTGTATTTGGTATATTCTGACATAAGCTGTATTTGGTATATTCTGACATAAACTGTATTTGGTATATTCAGACATAAGCTGTATTTGGTATATTCTGACATAAGCTGTATTTGGTATATTCTGACATAAGCTGTATTTGGTATATTCTGACATAAGCTGTATTTGGTATATTCTGACATAAGCTGTATTTGGTATATTCTGACATAAGCTGTATTTGGTATATTCTGACATAAGCTGTATTTGGTATATTCTGACATAAGCTGTATTTGGTATATTCTGACATAAGCTGTATTTGGTATATTCTGACATAAGCTGTATTTGGTATATTCTGACATAAGCTGTATTTGGTATATTCTGACATAAGCTGTATTTGGTATATTCTGACATAAGCTGTATTTGGTATATTCTGACATAAGCTGTATTTGGTATATTCTGACATAAGCTGTATTTGGTATATTCTGACATAAGCTGTATTTGGTATATTCTGACATAAGCTGTATTTGGTATATTCAGACATAAGCTGTATTTGGTATATTCAGACATAAGCTGTATTTGGTATATTCTGACATAAGCTGTATTTGGTATATTCTGACATAAGCTGTATTTGGTATATTCAGACATAAGCTGTATTTGGTATATTCAGACATAAGCTGTATTTGGTATATTCAGACATAAGCTGTATTTGGTATATTCTGACATAAACTGTTTTTGGTATATTCTGTATGCTGTTTAGCTGAAATAAAATACAATAGATATGTCGCTTATGATATATGATTAGTTTCCTTCACTTTGAAGTTTTGATGACGCCAATTTATGATGAAACTAAGGTTTGGCACCCTATTAACAGGTCATTTTAAGATGTGACTGTGTAGAGCGCGTTAGGGTATTACTGAACCGGAGGCAGTTACTGAACACAAATGATAAATCGCATTAATTCTTATATTGTTGGTGTTTTATGTGCATGACAACTCATCAGCATTCCTGACTGCTGAAAACATCATGCACTAGCAATGTGGGCCAAAAAAACACCCACTGCACAAGTTGTTATCCAATATGTGTTTACTTCTGGGTATCCTGGCTATTTTAGCATATTTGCTTATAAACAGGAAGTGATGGTCAGCCAATGAGCGTCCATATAAATGGAAACATCACAACTTATGACAATGAATGCATAGTTATGAAATAAGAAAAAATCCAAAGAACAATCATTACTTGCCAGTTATCCCTATTTACAGTAAACGTGACATTTATTTACCATTGATGACATATAGAGGTGTTCGGCAGTTATTGAACACAGTACTGTTGACTAAATTTGTAACAATAGAAACTAGGTCAAAAATTAGACGAGAGTCGAGTTCGCTCCCTTTTATTACTACAATCAACAGACTTGCTCCAGCCCCAAGCATCGTCATAGTGACTTGTAAATCCAGGGGCGTGCCAAAACAGTCTTAGCAATTTGGTCCGTACCAATAATACCCAGTTTTTATCACATTTATGATGGATTCTCTTTTATTATTAAATTAAGAAAATAAAAAATAATTATAAACATCAACTAAATTACTTTTTGGAATAGATGATGACCACCATTAGTACAGCCCCCGTATTATCTGAAATGTTCATTTAAGATCTGTTTGATTCAATTTGTAGACATTTGATTGATATTTTATTAGAAATAAAAGAAGTACTCAGTAATACCCTCCATGGTGTTCATTAATTGCCGACTGGTTCAGTAACTACCTCCACGTAACGTAACAGAACGAACCTTATAATAACGTTATATCTCCCTCAATTCAAACCTAATATTGGTAGAAATATTGCCTTATAGTTAAGAAATGTTACCATACAAGCCTGAGTGCGTAAAAACACACTTTGTTGTTAAAGGTTTTCCCCTTAAGTGTTCAGTAATACCCGACCCCACTCTGTATGTACCGGTATGCATGTGAGCTGGACCGACCCCACTCTGTATGTACCGGTATGCATGTGAGCTGGACCGACCCCACTCTGTATGTACCGGTATGCATGTGAGCTGGACCGACCCCGCTCTGTATGTACCGGTATGCATGTGAGCTGGACCGACCCCACTCTGTATGTACCGGTATGCATGTGAGCTGGACCGACCCCACTCTGTATGTACCGGTATGCATGTGAGCTGGACCGACCCCACTCTGTATGTACTGGTATGCATGTGAGCTGGACCGACCCCGCTCTGTATGTACCGGTATGCATGTGAGCGGAGTTGGAATGTTGGTGCATTTGCCTCTTTGTGTTAGCATGTATCTGATAATGACTTCAGAGTGTTAACTCACTTAGGTACCATGCTGAAGGTACCAGCAGAGGCAGACAGCACAGTGCTTCACCTGGTCACATTATACTGACTACAGAGTGTTACCTCACTTAGGTACCGTGCTGAAGGTACCAGCAGAGGCAGACAGCACAGTACTTCACCTGGTCACATTATAATGACTTCAGAGTGTTACCTCACTTAGGTACCGTGCTGAAGGTACCAGCAGAGGCAGACAGCACAGTGCTTCACCTGGTCACATTATAATGACTTCAGAGTGTTACCTCACTTAGGTACCGTGCTGAAGGTACCAGCAGAGGCAGACAGCACAGTACTTCACCTGGTCACATTATAATGACTTCAGAGTGTTACCTCACTTAGGTACCGTGCTGAAGGTACCAGCAGAGGCAGACAGCACAGTGCTTCACCTGGTCACATTATAATGACTTCAGAGTGTTACCTCACTTAGGTACCGTGCTGAAGGTACCAGCAGAGGCAGACAGCACAGTACTTCACCTGGTCACATTATAATGACTTCAGAGTGTTACCTCACTTAGGTACCGTGCTGAAGGTACCAGCAGAGGCAGACAGCACAGTGCTTCACCTGGTCACATTATAATGACTTCAGAGTGTTACCTCACTTAGGTACCGTGCTGAAGGTACCAGCAGAGGCAGACAGCACAGTACTTCACCTGGTCACATTATAATGACTTCAGAGTGTTACCTCACTTAGGTACCGTGCTGAAGGTACCAGCAGAGGCAGACAGCACAGTACTTCACCTGGTCACATTATAATGACTTCAGAGTGTTACCTCACTTAGGTACCGTGCTGAAGGTACCAGCAGAGGCAGACAGCACAGTGCTTCACCTGGTCACATTATACTGACTACAGATGAACCACTCATTGTGCTCATCCTAAATGCTGAGCTTTTAGTAGGGAATAACAAGTATAATTTTTTAGGACTTTGATATGATAATGTCCCGTGAAAGTTTGGGATAATAATTCAGGTGTTCATGTACTTGAGTGATTTACTTCAGAATTTTTCTGAAAGGCTGTATTTCCCTAGTTCATTTTGTACCGGAAGGATTGTCATTTTGTACCGGAAGGATTGTCATTTTGCTATATCAACATCTCCTATATAGAATGTTGGCTTTTACATACAGACTCTGATCAAGGAGAGCCAAAGTCATACAGATAACCTGGTGTCCCAGCTGCAAGGAAACCTACAACAGTGGGCCGCCCACACTCAGGACAGCCAGACAGACATGGACACACAGGCACAGTTTACTGCTGATTGGTCAAATAACTTGTCAGCTGACCTACAAAGACATTCACACGATGTGGAGGCTTTTCTGCACGAGGAACTAAGGAAAGACATCCCAACAGGTAGGATTGTTACAAAGATTTCATTGTATTTCTACCTCCCAGCTTCAATAGAGCTTCTCTTCACTGAGGTACTAAGATGATTTCTTATTCATTTTAATACACATAAACACTGTATATTGATTCCACTTAATAACACAATTACTGATGCTGATTGACAACTTTCTGTATTACTGTTTTAGAGAGAATTCTGTCTCAGTAACTTAAATTATGACAGTGATAATGATGTGTCAGTGCTTTCTGAAGTCAAAAATAAAATCATTTACATGAATTATTGCAGGAATCATGAATAGAATCTGTTACGACATGTCAATGATCCTGTTTATCTTACTCATGGTGTTATGAAATAGTTCATTATCATGTTTATATCTAAATCATGATAGATCTACAAGATATTAAAAGCCCTGTAAGTGAAGTAAGATCCACCACTGATAGGAGTCTAGTTACACGCGAGATACAGATATCTCTAGTTACACAGGGGATACAGATATCTCTAGTTACACAGGGGATACAGATGTCTCTAGTTAAACAGGGGATACAGATATCCCTAGTTACACAGGGGATACAGATGTATATAGTTACACAGGGATACAGATTTCTCTAGTTAAACAGGGGATACATATATCTCTAGTTACACGCGCGATACAGATATCTCTAGTTACACAGCGGATACAGATATCTCTAGTTGCACAGGGATACAGATATCTCAAGTTACACAGGGGATACAGATATTTCTAGTTACACGCGAGATACAGATATCACTAGTTACACAGGGATACATATATCTCTAGTTACACAGGGCATTCAGATATCTCTAGTTACACGCGAGATACAGATATCACTAGTTACACAGGGATACATATATCTCTAGTTACACAGGAAATACAGATATCTCTAGTTCCACAGGGGATACAGATATCTCTTGTTACACAGGGGATACAGATATCTCTTGTTACACAGGGGATACAGATATTTCTAGTTACACGCGAGATACAGATATCTCTAGTTACACAGGGATACATATATCTCTAGTTTTGTTACACAGGGGATACAGATATTTTACACAGGGATATAGATATCTCTAGTTAAACAGGGGATACAGATATCTCTAGTTACACAGGGAATACAGATATCTCTAGTTACACAGGGATACAGATATCTCTAGTTACACAGGGGATACTGATATCTCTAATTATACAGGGATTAAACAGGGGATACAGATATCTCTAGTTACACAGGGAATACAGATATCTGGATACTGATATCTCTAGTAAAACAGGGATACAGATATCTCTAGTTATACAGGGATACAGATATCTCTATTCACACAGGGGATACTGATATCTCTAGTAAAACAGGGATACAGATATCTCTAGTTATACAGGGATACAGATATCTCTAGTTACACAGGGGATACAGATATCTCTAGTAACACAGGGGATACAGATATCTCTAGCTACACAGGGATACAGATATCTCTAGTTATACAGGGATACAGATATCTCTAGTTATACGGGGATACAGATATCTCTAGCTACACAGGGAAACAGATATCTCTAGTTACACCGGGGATACAGATATCTCTAGGTATACAGGGATACAGATATCTCAAGTTATACAGGGATACAGATTTCTCTAGTTATACAGGGATATAGATATCTCTAGTTAAACAGGGGATACAGATATCTCGAGGAACACAGGGGATACAGATATCTATAGTAACACAGGGGATACAGACATCTCTAGCTACACAGGGATACAGATATCTCTAATTACACAGGGATACAGACATGTCTAGTTACACAGGGGATAAAGATATCTCTAGTTACACAGGGATACAGATATCTCTAGTTACACGGGGAATACAGATATCTCTAGTTACACAGGAAATACAGATATCTCTAGTTACACAGGGAATACAGATATCTCTAGTTACACAGGGGATACAGAGAATAACTTTTGATATCAATACATTAGAATCGCTGACTTTTCCACAGGTAAAACTCCACAGAGAAGAAACATGACGTACCCGCTACAGCTCACAAAGACCTCTGAGCATGACATCCTACTCAACGACTTCAGAGCTGACTACGACAGTGACCCACTTGTTACAGACCTAAGCAGTTCTCTGGACGCTGTGGCCGAGTCAAGTCGAGTTAGTAAGGTAAACCAACCATCTGTTATCTTATAAACCTGATTCTATCTTACTACTCAGTTATCAGGTCTCCGCTAAATGCAGGTGCCCTATAGTGATATAGTTACAGTTTCTGTCTGTAGAAAAAGTTTGTCTGGACAACTCCTTCTAAAGTAATTGACAAATTTCAACGAAATTTTCTAGATATCATAACTACTATCTGAAGTTGTGCATCCAGGTATTATTTTTTAATTCTGACCCTTTTTTTTTACGAAGTTATGGCCCTTTGTTGTTGAAAAATCCTGAAACTTTTTGTCTGGACAACTCTTTCTAAAGTTAAGGATCAATTTTAATGAATGTTTCCAGATATCACAACTACCACCTGAAATTGTGCATCAAGTCCAGGTATTATTTTTTCATTTTGACCCTTTTTTACGGAGTTATTGCCCTTTGTTGAAAAATGCTTGCCCGGACAACTCCTCCAAAACTACTCTGCCAATTTCAATGAAAGTTTTCAGATATGATAACTAATACCTGATGTTGTGCATCCAGGTATTATCTTTTCAATTTGACCCATTTTTATGGAGTAATGGCCGTTTGTTGAAAAATATTGTCAAGACAACTCGTCCTAATCTACTTGGCCAATTGCAATGAAATTTAACAGATATGGTAATTGCCCCCTGATGTCGTGCATCAGGGTAGTATTTTTTTATTTCGCCACTTTTTAAGGAATTATGGCCCTTTGTTAAAAATCTTTGTCCTGACAACTCTTTCTTAACTACTAGGACGATTTCAGCAAAACTGGTTCATTTGGGCTAACAAGATTTGGTTTGCAAGTCTGTTTTGGCATTGGGAGGGTGTACAGGAAGTATGTCAGTGACCTGTATACTTATATAAGTGTACAGCTCAGTCAATAAAGAAATCATTACTGGTGATAGACTATGGATTGCTCTGTAATGCTCTGCCTAAGCTAGCCTTTAGTTTACAGTTCTGGTTTCCATAGGGGGGGGGGGGGTATTAGTTAGTCTCTGGCTCACAGTTCTAGCTTTAGGAGTGGGGTATTAGTAGCCTTTGGCTCACAGTTCTTGTTTATATAGGACGGGGGGTGGGGGTGTATTAGTTAGCCTTTGGCTCACAGTTCTAGTTTATATAGGCGAGGGGGGGGGGGATAAGTTAGCCTTTGGCTTACAGTTCTAGTTTATATAGGAGAGTGGGGTATTAGTTAGCCTTTGGTTTATAGTTCTAGTTTTTTTCTAGGGTTTGTTGTAGACATGTTTTATTAACTTTATGTTGCCTTATTTATTTACAGACGAGTGAGACGGAGGAGGTAGAATCTGCTCCTAGTGAGGTTGGCAGTGAATCCTCCTGTACGTCTGGAGTGTCCAGCTTAAGCCGAGCTAGCAGCAAGGTATAGCTCCCCCACACATTAGTCTTGATGTTGGACAACATTCACCTGTCTATTGATTGAACTGTGTCATTTGCAACACAACATGTATGATATGAAGGATATCAAAATTAAAAGTGTGGCTTATCACACTTTTATATATCCCAGTAAACATTTCCTCAACAATAATATTCAGTGTGGTAACTAAAACTTCAATGCATTTTTTTTAAATAAACAAAAATACTTGTGAATATGTTTCCAGTCAGAACAAATATTCATCTAAATGCTTTAAGCAGTTGAAGGATTTTATCAAGATGTGCAAAAATAACATTCAATTTTTTATTTTTTTTTCTTACTTATGACCCCATCAAAATAATTACATATGTAGTACATGATTATGGCACTAAAACTGACATGCTTTTACGGAGATAGATTATAAGATACTTTCCAAGACAAAACATTATTTAAACAGCTACACTCATGAAGTACATTGACTGACTCCTATCTACAGAGAAGTATTAACATGCTCTACATTGTTTTATAGATGTCAAGTAAAGAAAACAAAACCAGGAAGCCAAAGTTGCCTTCTAAAGTGAAACAGAACAATGTCAACACAACTCCCAGAGGCAAGAGTCGTCTCCCTTTGAAATCTCGCAACCCAACAGAGGCCTGATACAGCAGTTTATATAACATAGACAAAACTTGTTTTCAGCAACACAACGATTACTTGCCACGATGTGTTTAAGATACTTTTTTTACATTTCAATTAATTAGTTTTTGTCTTACTCGTTGATTAAGGTATTTATTCAAAAAAATCAATAAATATGAATGTGAAATCATTAAATATATATCACTCTTGTTGGCTTGGTTGGAAGCACACAGGGAGACTTTTAGTGGGAGGAAACAAGTGTACCCTGAGAAAACCCACATGGTGGGGCAGGTGACCCCATCTCTTCTAATGTCCATTAGGGGAATCAAACCCCAGCTATCTGTGTGTAAGGCGAGTGGCCATCTGTGTGTAAGGCGAGTGGCTATCTGTGTGTAAGGCGAGTGGCTATCTGTGTGTAAAGCGAGTGACTATCTGTGTGTAAGGCGAGTGGCTATCTGTGTGTAAGGCGAGTGGCTATCTGTGTGTAAGGCTTCAATGGTCACCAGTGTAGGTAGTTTCTTGATTGATAGGGCTATGATTTATTACTGATGGTCTTTCAACAGGATACATGATCATGTGCAGAAAATTGATCAAGTTTGACTAATATTTATTATATATACAGTTTGTTAGATACATATACGTATGTACATGTGGATGGATCACTTTAATGCAGTTCATCTAATTTCATCTCATCATATTCCGTTCATTTTCATTTTCATCTCATGATGTCACATTCTATCTAGTAACATTTTCATCACATTTTCTATTCATCAAGATTACTCTGAACAGGCTGAAGGGCTGGGTTCGTTTGTAGTGTCAACTGGTTTAGCCTTCTTATAGGGCTTGTTCAGCACATCATCAAATTGTATCCCTAAAGTACCGTATATTAACTCATAAACTTTCCAGACCCCCTTATAAGTGCACCCACCTATTGTTTGGGAAAGAGGATGGGTGCACATAATTAAAACCTGTAAAACGTTGTTTACTTTACCAATCTGCCATTATAACATCCAAGGGGGTGTTTCTGTATTGTGATGTTCCCGTACTTGTATAACTAGCTGTTAGAGTTGTCCTCCATTATCTCCATTGTATGAACTATACTTCAGATTGATCACTCTCATATGTGTTACACATTTAAATCGTACAGAAAGTTGTTTAATTAACATGTAATAAGCAGTCATCATGGTAATCTTGCTTCTCATATGTTTTTATTTTCATTATCTTGTCATGTTTTTGTTTTCATTATCTTGTCATGTTTCTGTTTTCATTATCTTGTCATGTTTCATCTCTTGTACATTCAGAGCATTGATTTATTTCTTCTATTTTTTGTTGACTTGACAGTTTGGCACTAACTTCGTATAACCTTGTGATGGGAAAACATACCACCCCAAACAAGCAAAGGCAGTGTTGGATTGTTCTTGTATCTGATTTGATTTACCTGTATTGAGTCTGATTTGATTTACCTGTATTGAGTCTAAGTGATCTTGTATCAGATACGGTATGTAGATCACTTTGCTGATAGCCTGCTGTTTAAAATGTCACTTCATCATGTTGTCTACCTAACACATCATGTTGTCTACCTAACACATCATGTTGTCTACCTAACACTTTATGTTTTCACTGTACTTCTGACCCGTTCTCATGTTGTCCCTCATTTTGCAGGTATTTTATGCTTTTAAAAGTATCTATAATAATTAAGTATTTTAACTTATATGGACAAGGTGTTTTTAAGACACAGAATTTTAAACATATTTATTGAACCTGATTTTATCTCATCATATAATTATTTCATACTTGTATTTAATTTACATTAACTGTTGATCGCAATCCATAGTCACTTCCTTCAATGTGGTACCACAGTAGCTCAGGCCCAGTCACTTCCCTCAATACAGTACTACAGTAACTGGCCCAGTCCTGCACTTCCCTCAATACAGTACTACAGTAACTGGCCCAGTCATGCACTTCCCTCTATACAGTACCATAGTAACTCAGGCCCAGTCACTTCCCTCTATACAGTACCACAGTAACTCAGACCCAGTCACTTCCCTCAAAACAGTACCACAGTAACTCGCCCAGTCACTTCCCTCAATACCGTACCACAGTAACTGGCCCAGTCACTTCCCTCAAAACAGTCCCACAGTAACTCTGCCCCAGTCACTTCCCTCAATACCGTACCACAGTAACTGGCCCCGTCACTTCCCTCTATACGGTACCACAGTAACTCAGGCCCAGTCAATTCCCTCAATACAGTACCACGATAACTCAGGCCCAGTCACTTCCCTCAATACAGTACCACAGTAACACTGGCCCAGTCACTTCCCTCTATACAGTACCACGGTAACACTGGCCCAGTCACTTCCCTCTATACAGTACCACAGTAACTCTGGCCCAGTCACTTCCCTCAATACAGTACCACAGTAACTCAGACCCAGTCACTTCCCTCTATACAGTACCACAGTAACTCAGGCCCAGTCACTTCCCTCAATACAGTATCACAGTAACTCTGGCCCAGTCACTTCCCTCAATACAGTACCACAGTAACTCAGACCCAGTCACTTCCCTCAATACAGTACCACAGTAACTCAGACCCAGTCACTTCCCTCAATACAGTACCACAGTAACTCAGACCCAGTCACTTCCCTCTATACAGTACCACAGTAAATCAGGCCCAGTCACTTCCCTCTATACAATACCACAGTAACTCAGGCCCAGTCACTTCCCTCAATACAGTACCACAGTAACTCAGGCCCAGTCACTTCCCTCTATACAGTACCACAGTAACTCAGGCCCAGTCACTTCCCTCTATACAATACCACAGTAACTCAGGCCCAGTCACTTCCTTCAATACAGTACCACAGTAACTCAGACCCAGTCACTTCCCTCAATACAATACTACAGTAACTCAGGCCCAGTCACTTCCTTCTATACAGTACCACAGTAACACTGGCCCAGTCACTTCCCTCTATACAGTACCACAGTAACTCAGGCCCAGTCACTTCCCTCTATACAATACTACAGTAACTCAGGCCCAGTCACTTCCCTCAATACAGTACTACAGTAACTCAGGCCCAGTCACTTCCCTCAATACAGTATCACAGTAACTCTGGCCCAGTCGCTTCCCTCAATACAGTATCACAGTAACTCTGGCCCAGTCACTTCCCTCAATCAGATCAATATTTGGTTGAATCTGACTCTTAATAATTTTTTGATTTGGCAGGAAAGCAGATGGTTTTTTCAGACTATTTTTGGTCTTTCTCGGCTGTGGAATTTGTCCACAATTGTTGCCCTGATGTGATAGTTTTTGATGAAAATTAAATTTCAATAACTTTCATGAGATTTTTGACATACTTATGAACTGTATACCATCTTCATCATGTACGTGAGCTGCTTGTTTGTTGTTGGTGCTTACATATCCAAGTTTTAGAAATAAATGATCTTGGGTTTTTTTGGATTTTTAAATGGCCTCTAAAATATGCCAAAAGCAAGACTGCATAGAAATAAACATCTGTTTAAAACCAGACAGCTGTCTTTGTGTGATGTATGTTCCTTGTACGACGATCGGCAAGACATTATCACATCATTAGCATCTATTTCTAACTGATGGAAATGTTTTCATAAAATTTCATATGGGATATTTTTATGAGCAAGAGGCCCTAATGGACTGGTAACGCTCACTTAGTGTTAATCTCACACCAGTAAGTAAATGGATAAGGGTGAAATATATTAACATGCCAAATATCACCACCCTGGGCATTGTGGTTACTAGTCCCCCACCAGTTACCAGGGGGAAATTTAGATTTGCACTCCTTCCGTCCTTGTAGTTTGTCTGGGATTTATCTTTTATACTATTTCACCTGGAGTAACCAGATTTGGTGTACAAGGACATCTTGGGATGTCAGATGGCAAGAAGAAGGTAACTATGACCTCACTGTGACCTATGCTTTGACCTTTGACCGTAACTTTTGACAATGTTTGTCTGGGGCATATCTTCTATATTATTTCACCTTGAGTAACCAAATTTGGTGTTCAAGGACATGTTGGGATGGTAGAGTGCAGAGTACAAGAATTGGGTCATTGTGACCTATGACTTGACCTTTAATTTTGAAAAAGTTTGTTTGAGGCATATCTTCTAGTTACTATTTTACCTTTGGTAACCAGATTTGGTGTACAAGGACATCTTGGGACGACGGAGTGCAAGAATAAGGTCACTGTGACCTATGACTTGACCTTTGATCTTCACTTTTGAAAAAGTTTGTCAGAGGCATATCTTCTAATTACTGTTTTACCTTTGGTAACCAGATTTGGTGTACAAGGACATCTTGGGTCGGCAGAGTTCAAGAATAAGGTCACTGTGACCTATGACTTGAACTTTAACCTTCACTTTTGAAAATGTTTGTTCGGGGTATATCTTCTGTACTATTTTACCAAAATATAAATTAGCTAAATATATACATACCTGCACTAGGGAGTGTGCCATCAAGGTCAAAGTTCAAATCACTTAAGTCTCTCTTTAATTTAATTGTCTGAAGGTTTCCTGAATTTACAGACATGTGATACTGCCATGATATAAACCCAAATTTTAGTTAGTCGGAATTACAAGGGTGAGGTTAATGATGAAAATAAGTTCCTGTGGCCTTTCAAGATTTCAATTGTTGGGATATTCCACTGTAAAACAGTTTGTCAACATTCGTGAGAGTACTGACAGAATCATGACAAATAATAATGTTTTCAAAGAAGATTTATTGCTTCCATATACTGTACATCATCAACATTGACACAAAAAGAGAAATGTACAAGTAAAATAAAAGTGATTTCAATCATACATTTATATAAACAACCTTAAACCCACAAGTGCAGAATATTATTAATATTTTTAACATTAACTTTGCTTGAAATGTGTATAATATTGTTTAATTTCAGAATTCTTGTTCCTTCTCTCCATGCAGTGTTGGGCGACATCGCTATTTTACACTACAGCCTTTTTTTCAGAAATATAATATAAAAGATAACAGATATTACACGTACAGTTGTATTTCCAAGCAAATAGTCAAGGTAGCTGATATAAGTGAAAGAATCCACCTTTAAGCAAAGAACACTTGTACTTCTGAATCATCCTCGATACTCCAGGCCTTGTGTTCATTAGCGCTCTCTGCTGGAATATGTCTCCAGTAGAAAGAACTGACCAATCGCTAGGCTGATACCTACCTGATACCTGATCTTTTAAGATAAAAGTGGAGGGACAATAGACTTCAAAGCCAGTCAATTTTACCGTTGCGTGACCAAATGATTCTTCTGATGTACATCAAAGGTTCAAACTAGTCTTCTCGTCTCATCCACAAGGTGTCGCACACCGAGCCTCGTCTCATCCACAAGGTGTCGCACAACGAGCCTCGTCTCATCCACACGGTGGCACACACCAAGCCTTGTCTCATTCACAAGGTGTCGCACCCCGAGCCTCGTCTCATCCACAAGGTGGCACACACTGAGCCTTGTCTCATCCACAAGGTGGCAAACACCGAGCCTTGGCTCATCCACAAGGTGGCAAACACCGAGCCTTGGCTCATCCACACGGTGGCACACACCAAGCCTCGTCTCATCCACAAGGTGTTGCACAACGAGCCTCGTCTCATCCACACGGCGGCACACACCAAGCCTTGTCTCACCCACACGGTGGCACACACCAAGCCTCGTCTCATCCACACGGTGGCACACACCAGGCCTGGTCTCATCCACAAGGTGGCAAACACCGAGACTTGTCTCATCCACACGGTGGCACCCACCAAGCGTTGTCTCATCCACACGGTGGCACACCCCAAGCCTTGTCTCATCCACAAGGTGGCGCACCCCCGGGCCTCGTCTCATCCACAAGGGGGTGTACACTGAGCCTCGTCCCATCCACAAGGTGGTGTACACTGAGCCCCGTCTCATCCACAAGGTGCCACACACTGAGCCTTGTCTCATTCACAAGGTGTCGCACCCCGAGCCTCGTCTCATCCGCAAGGTGGCACACACTGAGCCTTCTCTCATTCACAAGGTGTCGCTCCCCGAGCCTCGTCTCTTCCACAAGGTGGCACACACAAGGTGACACACAGTGAGCCTCGTCTCATCCACAAGGTGGCACACACCGAGCCTTGTCTCATCCACAAGGTGGCAAACACCGAGCCTTGTCTCATCCACACGGTGGCACACACCAAGCCTTGTCTCATCCACAAGGTGGTGCACACTGAGCCTTGTCTCATTCACAAGGTGTCGCACAACGAGCCTTGTCTCATCCACAAGGTGGCACACACTGAGCCTTGTCTCATCCACAAGGTGGTGCATACTGAGCCTCGTCTCTTCCACAAGGTGGCACACACTGAGCCAAGTGAGCATAACCCCCGGAGTATTGAGGATGAATCTAAATTTAGTCCATAATAATATTCCAACCGAAGTGAAACAACATCAGACTAATCACTTGGACTGGTTCGGGTGTGGGTATTCATGAAATAGGCAAGATAAAACTTTGTACACAAATATTGTCTGGCTAACGGTTACATTCACAAATATAATATTGAGGCTGTACAAGATTACCAAACTTTTGATGTAAAAAGTGAAACAATCTAGAAAGTAAATCATCATCACATTAAAACATCATTATCGAGAAAATAATCTAAACGCCATTTTCAACAAATTTGTGATGATGTTACGGAAATTTGTTCCAGAGAAACAAATTGAATTTCAATAAAATTTGGCAGTCTTGTTTTATAAAGGGGTTTAACACAGCATCTATTCAGAAACTGACATTATAAATATATAGTTAATAGGGATGACTGATCTAATACAAGTCATCCTCGAGTAGGACTCCTGTTGTATCAAGGATTAAACCAAGTATACCCTAATTTCCTAAGTACACTGTATTGAAATGTCTGTTTTGTCAATGCAAATGATATTCCTGAAACAGTCCAACATCACAGTGTTTGCTTCCTATGATGTTGTCAGAGAAGTGTCTTACTGATACTGATCCCATTGTGTTTATATCAACACATTCTGGTACTGGTTATACTGGGACTTGAAATGTAAACAAAGAAATACAAACTAAATTAAGATCACCGGGCCAATAATTAGAATTATGATTTCCTTGAAGTAGATCAGCTTCTAATAAGAACACCATACAAATTATCAATAAGGAGTAAAAATCTGTTTCCTTAACAAGAGGTCTTAGGGCCTTATAACGTATCACATTATATCTATGATAATCTATGATAAGTGTTATGACTTATCACCCTTGTTACAGGACAGGCCATGAGACCTTGATCTTGTACCTCCAAAACCTAGACGGACATTCAAACCAATCAAGCTTGTCACCAGTAAACACCTGGTCTTACACACCTCTTTGTTTCCAAGTCTTTGCCCCCGAGGACAACATTATTAAGTTCCTGATTAGCATATATACTTATATCACAATACATGTATCTGTACGAGTCATCCCCCGCATCACACTTAATTATGTTAACAGACTCCAGCTGCTCAAAAGATCATTCCATTTAACAAATGCAGTATAATACGGGAAATACTGCATGGTGCCCCATGCCATGTTACTCTGTGGACTGGCCAATCATCCTAAAAAGCTACATGGATCTAAACTCTGTTGTCTATTTAAACAGTCAAAACCGGTACTAAGAGACCACCAACAGGAAGTCCAAATAGTGGTCTCTTAACACAGGTGGTTTCTTCATACAGGTTCAGTTCACAAATAAATCAGTATCATGGAAAAATAAAACAAGGGTCTCCTAATATTGGCCGTCTTTAAGTAGAGGTGGTCACATGAGCAGGTTTTACTGTACCCTTTTTGGGCGACAGACAAGTTCTTAAATAGTTATAAACTCCAAATCCTATGTAATATTGTCTACATATTCCTCTGTACAGATCACAGGCAAACATAACTAGAAGTACGCCATTGTGATCTTACAATTAATATACATATAAATCATATACCAACCACCCTTTTACTGGCCATCAAATAAACTGAACACAAACCCCTCGCTACCAACATCAGACCAAGTGATGTCCTCTCACCCAACATATTACTTACAAGTAATATTGCACTGTGCATTCTTTAAAAACATTTTTAAATAGTTAAAATATGGTTAAAAGTGCATGCACTCAATGATATGTTTTCATAGAAAACATTTAAAGTCACAACTCTACAAAGTGTGTGGAGTTTTACCAAATCCAGCAGCATCAGCCCCTGTCGGAATCAGTTGAGTTTACTTGGCGATCAAATCCAAGAGACTGCACAAGGCTGGCACGCGATAAACCGAGCATGTACACTTTTTCAAATTTCTATTGCAAGCATGGAAAAGCAACATCTAAAAAGCTGAATTCAATACTTATTACATATAAGCTACCTCAATGAGCCAAACTTCTTAAACTCTTATCGTGTTTTAAACATAAAATTGAGAGAATAGAATCTTCAACTGTATTATTCCACATTTTGAAAAAAATCCAAAAATTGTTGGTTTAGCGCTGTCACTTCGTCTCCCTCCAACTTTCTAAAGAGTACCGCGAGTAGAAGTTTTACAGTCGCCTCATAACCACGTCACAAGTAAGGCCAAAAAAAATAAAAATATGTCTGTTTAGGGTTCCCGAGCCTAGCTAAAGGTCAGCATATGGAGCACAAATTCCCTTCCAAATGAACCTTGTTTATGTAATTCTTAATTTTACATACAATAGTAGGGTCATAATCACATGACCACACGGTACACACAAAAAAAATATTTGACCTATATATAGCTACCTACCCTTTTTTATTGGCCCATGCAACCCTAAACAGACAAAAAAAAATGGTCTAAATAGCATTCACATAGCAAATTTATCTCCTGGTATGTTTCCAGTTTTGATATGAAGATGACAAAATGAAACTATTTCGAGATGTAAAATAGAAAAGTGACCTCTACGGGATCCTTGGTGTGACAAATTATTTAACGGTCAGTTACTCATGACCTAAGATAAAACCTTTGATGATTGGTCAGATCTAAAGGAGACTTAGGTGGCACCCTCGTCCCATGTATCTTACAGACCCTTCATGGTTCTACAGAGGGTCAGCAAATAACTATATAGCTAAAAATACATTTATCAATTTGAATAAAAAACAAGAGGCCCAAGGGCCTTAGCGGTCACCTGAGTTATATCATAGGTACTGGTAGCTTTATTTTATTGTTTAGATGTGATGTGGAAATCAGCATGTAAACTAAGTGAAATACAATACTTGTCATGTCATCAATGGATAAGAATTTGAAAATATTGGTAAATGTTCCCTTTGGGGCCCTGCCCTAGCCCCTGGGGATGGGGCAGGAATCCTAATTTTACAAAGTAAAACTCTCATTTACCCAAGATGATTCTGACTAAGTTTGAGCAATTTTCTGCTGAAAAT